CTGCTGAGATACCCCATTGCCAGAATCTTTTCCTCCTTTACTGAAACCACTTCTGGGTTAAGTCCTGTCAGTGGCCATAGCTTTGTAGGCTCTTCTCAGAGTTTTGAGGGTTGAGGTTACTTCACTAAGCAATCCTCCTCTTTCAGAGTCCAGTTCAGTTTTCCACATTTGGGAGACAAAACCACCATGACCATTACCCAAATCTGAGTTAGATCACCAGCTTAGACATCCTCGGGCTTGAAGCCCCTGGGGGAAGACTGCTGAGTTCAATGTCAGGAAAAGGCCCTCAACCTAATTCAGGAGTGAGATCTCCTTATCCTGACCCAGTGCCCCACAGACCCAATGGGGAGACAAATTTATAACTGAATGGTAATATATTCATATTTTGATAAGTGCATTTCACTAGAAGTGAACAATGTTTGTTGGTGTGGAAGGCTGCTGAACAAACCATGAAAAAGTAAAACTTTGGAGTTGCCTCTGGGATAGCAAGTAAGAGTGCTTTTTACACCCACTGGGGATCTCATTCACACCCATGGCTGCAGTGGACACCTCTGAGCAAAAGATTTCCTAATCCACATCTCCACCCTGATCTCTCTCCTGAGTCCTAGAGAGCATGTTCAGCAAGCATTTCTACCTGGATGACTCAGTCACAGCAAACTCAACATGTTGAGAGGTAAATTCATTATCTTTTCTCAAAGCCTGCCCCTCCCCAGATGGTCCCCACCTCAGAGAATTTCACCAATATAAACTCAGTCACTCAAGCCAGGAACCTGGGAGGACTTCCCATCCTCTCAGTCACCAGTCTCCACACCTCTTGAGTCTGTGCACTTCTTCCATTACTACCCACACTGTCCCCATCCAGGCCATGTCATGTCCTGCCCACAGCACTTTACTGGTCTCTAACTTACCTTTTTGGCTTCACTCTGGTGTTTGTGAGCCATCAAACCCTATCAGCCATAGTGATTCTTCTGACCCACAAGTCAAGTCTCATTGCCTTTTTGTGTAAAAACTTTCAGTAGCATTCCATTGACTTTGGTTTAAAGTTTAAACTCCTTAAATTATTACACAGGCCTTTAACACAGTGCAGCTTCTACCCACCAGTTTAACTCATCTCTTGCCAGTCTCCCCTTTGAATGTGACATTCCAGCCATGTTTAATGCTTCTCAGCTCCTCACACATATCCAGGTCTCTGTATTGTACCTACCTTCCCTCTATCGTCCTCTATCTTATTCTTGTTATTGAAATATAAAATGCATACAGTACAATGCATGTCAAACATGCACAGCTCAGTGAATTGTCTCTCTCAAATGAGTGTACCCACATAACATACACCCAGATGAAGAACCCAAAAGAGGACCAGTGTTCCAGGAGCCTCCTTCATGCCCCTTCCCACTGCCCACCAGAGAAATCACTACCCTGACTTCTAATAACATAAGCCTGCAGAATTGTGCCATACATCTCCTGCTACATTAACAAGGTGCCAATAAGTTTAATGGCCTAAAATAACTGTCAAGTCCCATCTTCAGCTTCATCACTCCTTGCAGCTATGCCTTTGCATCCGCTTTGTCACCAAGCTTCTTGAAAGTTGTCTCCATTCAGTGTCACCTGTCCTCTCTGCCCATTCACTCTCTAATCCACTGCATCATACATATAATCCCACTGAAGCCACCCTCATCAGTGGGCAGTTACCTCCTTACTGTTGAGCCAAATGAACATTTTCAGTCTTTTTTTAATTGACAACCCCTGCCACCCACCCACAAATTCAGTGACTGGGAGGTTCTTCTTGCCTGGAATGCCTTTCACCCCCATTTTTCCTGCAAATCTATTAATTATTTATGTCATATTTCTAACACTACCTCCTCTATAAAACTATGCCATTAACATCTCCTCTTCTGATCCTGTTTGTTACTATTAATGTAAATGCCAATAAATATTATTTTATATGTTTGGCTCATTTCCCCTAGAACATAAACTCTGCATGGAAAGATCTTTGTTTTGTACATGGATAAATTTTAAGCTCCCAGAACTGTGGTTAGCATGTATTAGGCACTCAATAAATACTTATTAATTGAATGAATGGTTACCACTTATTGAGCACTTATTATGCTGGGCACTTTCATGCATTATCTGGTTCTACCCTCACCATCACCTCATAAGGAAGGAACTATGTTTATCCCAATTTTGCATAGGAGGAAACCAAAGGTTAATGAGATTAGACCTGCCCATGATCACACAGTTGATACATGACAAAGCTAGGAGTTGAGCCCCAATTTGTTCAAGCCCTAAATAGACTCAAACTCCCATCTTTGAGCTTTGTCTATAGTGGTGCTTTGCACAAAACTTTACTATAACAGGCTTTCAGCAACTGGACAAAATCTCCAAACAGCCAGCACAGTGTCTTACACATGTTTGTGTTCACTAAATGTTTATTGAAATAAAAAAATGGGTGTGCTGTTAAGAGGCAGCATTTGGCAGTGAGCCTTTTTGCACAGTCAGTAATTTTTTAGCACTGTCCTGATGGTTGCTGCAAATCCAGGCCTATCTGCTGCCTCCTCTAACCCTTTGTTTCTTCAGCACAACGTAGGATCCAGGCCATCCCTGGCTGACCCACCCACCACCCTGACCCCAGCCCTCAGCCATCCTTCCTCTCCTCATGAAATTCCCCTGCTTGTCTTCCTGCTGTCAGTGGCCTGATCAGGCAGAGCAAGTTCTGCCCCTCCCACTCCTCTTCTTGACCCCACGCCCTGCTTGAACCTGGCTGCTTCTCTGGTCATTCTTGACAGTCAGGGCAACATGACATTTATATAGATAATTGGAACACAGTGCAGATTGTGATAAACACAGAGGGAGTCACGAGGCACTGTAGGAGTTATGAAGAGGAGAAATTCCTAGTTACATGATGGAGGAAGGGAAAATAAATTAAGTCATTGCATTTTTCATCTTGATAAAAGGATTTTTTAAAAATAAAGAGTATAGCTTTTTTAGGTTTGTTAATTATTTAGGATTGTTGATTGTAAGTAATAGAAACTGGGGTGGTTTAAGCTAAAAAGGAGAATTTATTGTAAGTCTGTAGCAATCCAAAGGTTGGAATGCAGCCAGACCTTGGTTAGATATAGAAGGGACTAGAAAACAGTCCAGGATCTGAGCAACATTCTCTTTCTATATCTTACCCATTCTGCTTCTGTACATCTGCTTTGTTCTTGTCTCTCTGTGGACCTGCTCTTCACAACCTCGCTGTGGTATGTGGCTACCAATGGCTACTGAGTTTATACTTGGCAAGACTGACTGTGTCCATCAAAATCACCCAGGATATGATTGTCTAACTGCTGTGCTGTAAACCTGAAACTAATACAAAATAATGTTGAATGCAAACTGTAATTGAAAAATAAAATTAAAAAAGATCACAAATCCCCAGGGAAATACACTCAATTTACCCAGTGCAAGTCAGATACCCACTCCTGGTCCAATCACCTGCCACCAGCAAAGTAGGGTAAGGTAATGTTGGTCAGTATGGCTGCCAGGAACCCACCTCTCTTCAGGAGGAAGAAGCAGAAAGGATCATTATAAGCTGAGCAGACTCTCTGAAAATGTCACTACACTTGGTTCTCTTGTCTGATAATGCCCTTGTGAAAAAACTCTGGGTGCTTCCACCAAAATATTGGGTTTATAAAAAAGTGCATGTAGGTTTTTCCATATGATGGCTGTAGTAGTGCTTAGTTGTCTTTAACTTCATTTGAAACAACTTTGTTAGATTGTATTATAACAGCAGTCATATCAGTGTGCATTTTAAAAAACTTACCAAAATTGGTGAATTTTTGTGCAGCCATTTTAATATTGAAGATGGAAGACAATATGCAACATTTTTGGCATATTAGGCTTTATTATCTCAAGAAGGATAAAAGAACAACTGAAAAGCAAAAAAATTGTGCAGTGTATGGAGAAGGTGCTGTGACTGATCAAATGTGTCAAAGTGGTTTGTGAAGTTTCCTGGTATTATTGACATTTTGGCCAAATAATTCTTTGCTGTGGGGCTTTCTTATGCATTAGAAGGTGTTTAGCAGCACTCCTGGCCTCTACCCCCTAGAAACCAATAGCAGGAGATAGCCAACATACTCAACATATCCAAATCAATAAAGTCATTGGTGAAAATGAGAAAGGTGTTTTGTATTTTACAGAAAAAAACATACTGACTTTTTGGCCAGACCAACAGAACAAATTAAGAGGCTTCCTATTTTGGAGGTTCTTTTTCAGGAAGAAATACATAAATTTAGCAAACATCACCCTAATTAAGATGATATTTCAGTGGTCTTTCTTAATGGGTTTTTCATGCCAATTTTGTTCATTAAAGGCCTAGATTCCTGGCTTCACCCAAGTGTCTCACACACATCCAGATGGCCTGTGAGCCCAGCCTTTATAAAAGGTAAACCAGAATGGGCATATATCCCTCCTCAAGGTCTTATGAAAACGATACCCACACTGCCCCTTCATCAACCAGAGTTCTCTGTGCTTTCTAAGGAGCCAGAGTAATCAGGTCTAGGGATACAGAATTAGCCCCCTTTCAGAGGGCTACACCCTGACAAATTCTCAGAGAGCCAACTTTGGCCACAGCTCAATTAATGTGGTTTGAGATGAGGAGAGGGGACTAGGATAAATCCCTCTTTCATTCTGATCCATCAATCAGTGACCTATCAATCAGTTATCTATCAATCCAAGGCTAGGTAAGGATGATCTGAAAGGTTTCTCTAACTCAGAAGTAAGAATGCTGGAGTCAGGTTGCTCAAGGCAGATCCAAAGCTCCATTCACGTCCATCCTTCCCAGACTGGCCCTCTGGGTACCACTGCATTCCCTGTGGTTGGCCCCCAAAATTGGTGGTGCATCCCCAGACTATGGTGAGTAGGGGTCAAGGCCCTCTTTTGGAGATGACTTTGTAACTCTTCTCCCGACACATGTTGCATTCCACCCACACCTTTTCCATGACACCTCCCCGCTTGTTTTCCAGGCTCCATGGGTACAGCTGGCCGTGTGTGCAACCTGACCTCCCGAGGAATGGACAGCTGCGAAGTCATGTGCTGCGGAAGAGGCTACGATACCTCCCGCATCACGCGGATGACCAAGTGCGAGTGTAAGTTCCACTGGTGCTGTGCTGTGCGCTGTCAGGACTGCCTGGAGGCCCTAGACGTACACACCTGCAAGGCCCCTAAGAGCGCTGACTGGGCAGCTCCCACATGACCCCAAGGGAAGTCACCATCCACCTTCCCTCCTGCAAGGACTCTATTGGGTCTGCAAGGACACTGGGCCTTTGGGTCCTCTCAGGAGCCATGTGGCCTTTGTCTCAACAGAAGCCTCTCCTCCCTCACTGGGCACCCCAGGACTGGGGCCACATGCCTGCCTTCCCCACTTCCAGCATTCTGCAGCACCTCTTTCTGGTTGTGGCAGGCTGTCGGAGGGGAAGGGATGTGGGCCCAGATCACTGTCTCCACTCACCTAGATAGTTCCTTTTTCCAGAGTGGCTGGCCAGGAGGAGAAAGAGTGTCTCAAAAGAGTTTTCTCTGTGTGTTTCCAGCAAATGCTCAAGTTCAATTCCATACTTCTCAATGGAGGGTAATGTAAAGAAAGCGGGATCAACTACCACTGGATTAACTCTAATTTTTAAAAAGACCAAGCAAGAATTTTTGCCTATCAAGGGATTTTCACAGCCTCCCAGAGTAATTTGTAATTACCTAGAGAAGGGTGGCTTTCAATAAATTTAAGGTTTAAAATGCATCTATTTCAAGGCATTTATTGCCATATTAAAATCTGATGCAACAAGGTGGGCTGCTGTCCTTTGGTACAGCAACAACAAAAGCCTCAGAAAGTGACTGCTTTACATTACTGCCCCCTTGATATAAAGGACTTTTGGGAATAGACTTCTTTCTCACTTAGGATCTGAACAGAGTTAGAAAGAAAATTGACATCTGACAGTATTCTGTAACTATCAGATAAAGATGGGGGAAAATAATTTAGTAAGTAGAGTATCAGAAAATGTGTCTGTACAGATTAAAGGGGAGGGAGTAAAATTCCTATCTGGTATGATGCATGTGACCTATGGGATTTTGTAACTCAAACAGCTTTGACAATGAAAACTTTTGGGATGACAAGAGCAGGGAACCAAAATGCTGACAGAAAGGTTTCCAGATCTAAGTCATGCCCAGACAGCTTCTACCACAAGCAGATGCCTAAATGAAATTGTCCATGTGTGCAGAGGAGTATCAACTAGTACTCATCACCCTTCAAGCACATTTTAAAAAACTGTCGTATATAATTGTGTTCATTTGATGCTTACAAGATGACAAAATACCATAGCCTAAAGCAGCAAATGACACATAGCCTTGCTTGTAAATTGGTAACCCTAGTACATTATATTGCAAACAAATCATAACTTGGAGACTGTATTTAATGGACCCAGCTGTAATTATGAGAGCATCACTATACAAGTTGTGTTTGGCTTCTGCCATGAGCTAAAAGATGATATCCAGGGGAAATAGAGAGGCTGCCTCACCCATTTTATATATTATATGAAAAAAAGGTGAAATATATAAAGCTACTTCTCATGTTCCCTCCTGCATTTAGTTTCTTGTTCAAAACGTTATCTCTTCACAGAGCTGTGTTGACTAACAGGACATTTCCTTATATGCATCTGATGTCAAATTTTCATCCTTCCTCATTCTTTACTAATTTGGCCTTTGGTTTCACTATCCTTGCTTCACAGAGGATATTTGGACTGAGGTTTGTGAAACACAACCTGCTGGAGTACTTTCTCAGTAGTGAGATTTGCCTTCTAACCCTCTTTAAAATGACAGCATTCATCTCTTTTCCCTTACTTCCCAAACCCAGAATTAGTTGTCTGGTTTTTCCAAAGCAGCTCTTCCCTCTGTTTATCTTATGGATTTGGAGCTGGGAGGAGTGGGACGTGACAGCAGATGCGGTGAGCTCAGTTGGGCCATGTGGGTAGTGGGAAGGCTGGGCAAGGGGTCTCGGTCTTAATAACACTGAGGCTTGCAGTCAGTGCCTTCCTGGGAGGGCAAGGGGACTCTCGTGGGATCCCAAAGCCATTAGCCCTTTTTCCTACTGGATAAACGGTGAAGTCGTAAATTGATGGAAATATTTAGAGAACATCTCAGCTGCCCTCAGTTTATGTCTGAGGGGAACTGAGACCAATAGAGGTGAAGGGGTCTGTGCAAGTGTCAGCCATTGCCCTAGTGCTCTGGCACAGACTGGCCCACACTCCAAGAGTATTCAAGAAAGTGAAGCACTTTATCTACTAAATAAAACTAGTTTGTCTCAGGATCTACTCAGTAGATTCTAAATTTTAGCATCCGAAAGCAATATTCATTTTTCTTATTCCTGGGATAGTTAGATCTGACTTTCTTTCTATGCTGAAATGCATCTTTCCTGATAGGGAGGAAGGGGATAAAGCATATCCATGTAAAAACCTGAATAAATTGTCCAAATTTGTGGCAGCCATCTCCAGTGGCAGTGAATCTCCAGTGGTAGTGAATGTGGCCATTGTGGAGAACATAAGAGAGCTAAGTATTTTTACCTGCTCTTCTGAAAGAGGGAATCTCCATTATTTAAAACATTGAACAAAAGAGAGAAAATCATTTCAAATTCAATTTTGTTATGGCTTAGTGAGGATTGATGTTCCTTGATTCTAAAATTTACTAAACTCTTGATTATCTGAGGTTTTAAGGGAATGCGTGGCATGAATTACCCAAAACAAATAAGAGATTCTATTCAGGTCATATCTTCTTACAAAGTACTTCCCAGTTTTAAAAAATCTTATTCTAAATTGAAGTTTTTTAAGCTCAAGATTATATCCATTAATTTTCTGCAATATCTGAAGAAGTTCCAATAGGAGATCTTGACTAACTCACTGGAGTCGTCTTCCATAAAGATAAAATCTGCACATGACTCTGAGACTTAGCAAATGGGTTGTTTTCTTCAATAGTTTGCCTCCCTAAATTAATCTGTGGTGCAGACTGATCTGTCTTCTGTGAACATGCTTGTCAAGGTACATTTAGTTAACAGGCTCCCAGACAGCCTGTTTACCTCCTCAAATGGCTTTAGCTCAAGCACAAAAGCCCCTGATGTCATTACCACACAAGGCTCTGGCTCTGTGCCCCTCAGAGAGGAGTGCCCTGGCATGTTATTTGACCACAGAGGACTCAGGATTGGAGTGGAGGAGCTTAGAGCACCTCAGAACATTAACTATCTTCTACAGATCTTATCAGATTAAAATGAGCAACCCAGAAGGATCTATCAAAGAGCAGTGTAATCTGCATGGAGCCAGATGAGGGGAAGGGGAGCGAGAGGGAAAGAACAAAGTAGCTGAATGGTCAGCTGAGCTTGGTGAAGGCAGAGACTGGCTCTTTCAACCCTTGTTGGTAGCCTCCACCCTTCCTTCTGCTGTTGCTTTCCTGTCCCCTCCCAGCACCTTTTTCGAGGCTCAGTGCCCAGACCCTCCATACCTACTGTGTAGCTTTGCTAGAGGCTGCCAATAATCATCACAACCATATTCCGCTTTACTGGAGTTACTATGTAGCTTTAAAATATCAGGTATCACATTTCTTTTTCAAAGAAGATAGCTTTCAAGTCAAAAAAATCTACCTTCACATTGACATTTCTTAGTCTTATTAACTTATTCAGATTATTATCATAGACTTGTAGATCAAGTCTGCGAGTCCCAAATTATGGCCTTTCAGAAGCAGCCAACATGACCATGCATGTGCTTGAGCTTGATGGCATTTTCAAGCCAGGATTTTGTTATTATTTCTCATTGATTAAAGGTTGGCCCAGGGTTGGCGTTCTCGCTTAGCTGCAGAACATTCATCTCCCCTCTTGCCCACTCTCAAAATAAAGGCTCAGAGAAGCGTCCAATGGACCAGAACCATTCTTTTGTGTCTATTTACTGTACTTCAATCTGGGTTTCCTTATCTTAAGAGCAAGAGTTGTATTCTTCACAAGTAGACCTCACCAGTTCCAAAGCTGGTGAATTGCTTTTGTCAAGTCTGTGCTGAAATTCTGAAAAGCAATGCACTGGTGTAAGCTGACAGCTAAGGCATGCTTATTCTGACCTTCTCCTTATATCTGCAGAGAAAATATTCAGTCATCCATGAGAATGTTCTTTACATTTTTCTGGGGATCAGTGAGGTGACAGGTGGTTTGTAAAGCCCTACATGATCATTATTTTTCTAAATCATTGTTGTTCCAGCTCTAGGGGTTTTTTTTTCACTGATATTCACATGGATTCTTGTTTAACCAAACCTCCCACTTCCATGAGCTAATAAAAGTGTCATGCAGATTGTTACAAAGAACTATTGTTATTTACAAGTCTACATTTTCTGTGAAATCAAAATATAATAAAGTGAATTTTCAGTGTTGACTTTGTTATTTTATGCTTGTGATGTCTTGCCAAACCCTCTGATGAAAAGAAATCCCTGCAGGTTACAAGAATTATCCCCTTGTCTCTTCTGAGGACTACACTTAACACAACCTGATCAAGAGGTGTCTTTCAAGTTTGTAAAGATTTGGGGGGAAGTGCATTGACCTACCTTAGTGATAACTACTCTAGTGAGTTAATGTGGAAGACATATTCTGGGTTCAGAAACTATTCCAGGTTTCTACCCTTTGTTCTCCTGTGGTTATCAAGTAAGGCCTGTACCTTCTTGGTGTCAGCATGCTTTGTGGTGCTTATAAATTCAGCATTTCTCCACAGCAGCCAGACCTACCTCCAATGACTTCTCTAAACTATTGCTTTCTATGTACATATTTGATCTGGGCTGAAATAATATTTTTCAGCTTGATTAAAAACATAACAAAACCCCTTAACCCTTTATTGACATTAAGGATGTACTTCTGTACATCCTGACTAGGTGTGCTGCTGATATACAAGCATCAAAAGCTCAGAACATGGAAAGAAATGTTAGGTCACCCCAGCAAAAGAAATCCATTGCCATTCCCCCCACTAATGAACTGTGTTTTGGGGTGGCCTAATGGAGCAAGGTACTGACTCTGCACTTCAAGCACCCCAAGGTGGCCCCATGATCAGACTGATCACTGTCCCTGTAGGACTCCATTGTTCCTTCTGGAAACTCCCTTGCTCAGGTGATCTGAAGAAGCAGTGGTGTCACATGTGTCTTCGTGTGTTTTGCAAAGAGCATTGCCCCAAATTGCCTAAACATTGTCAATATTTCCTTATTACCTAACTGTTTGGGTGAGAGGGCTGTCCTGCATACACATTGTATGATCTCTAGAAGCAGCCCTGGTCTCTACTCATTAGATACCAGAAACAATTCCACTGCTTCCCAGTTGGGATAATCAAAAGTGTCCCTGGACATTGCCATATGTCCTCAGTGAGAGTAGGAGGTGGTGAGAATAAGAGCAAAGCTGTTCCTGGTTGAGAACCACTGATCTAACACTTTGGGTTAAGTCCTTTATGCAAATGTGAGTCATCTCTGCCATTTTCAGTTAGAAATACCTCACTGGGAGTATTAATTTAATGGGATGAGTTCTCAGTATTAGTGTATCAGGCCACTTGGGGAGGAAACTTTTGGGAAAAGCATGGCTGTAGAACCCCTTGGCATCATGGGCAGAATGAGACAGGCTGAGACTTGAAGCTCATTTAGGCCACACTGCATGTCCTTGGATGGTGAGAAACAAAGGAAGAATGGAAGTTGAGCAAGGAGAAACAATGCAGTTTTAGCAGCTGGCAGCAGGGTTCTTTTTAGGAATTCCTCAGTTTCACAACACTCAGTGGGAAAAAGAAGCCCAAGGTATGGCCTAGAGTGTGGAGGAGTGAGAATATTCTAACCGTGGCTTAACTACTTGAGTAATTTAGAGTTTCTCAGGATAGATAGGAGGGTAATAACAAAGAGGGGACACTGCAAAATGGAAAAAGTCTAAATTTCTTTCTTTCTTTTTTTTTGAGGCACCAGAGTTTAGGACTTTTAATTTGTCCCAAAGTTGCTGAAGCAAAATCATGTTAAAACATTCTTCTTTCCTTTATACTCCCCAACACGCGAATGCACACACACACGTACTCATACAAACTACTTGTAGGAAAAAATGGTTTTGTACAGGGGAAGAAACAATATAAATGTAAAACAGGGGTTAGCTCTATCACTCATCTCTTTAAAAAGTTTATATGAATATCCAGTCAATCTCCCTTGAAATGTTATCTATATGGATTTCCAAGTAGACCACAAGATTGTATACTGTCTTGGAATGTCCTTAGAAGGCTCTGCCATTGATCAGGTAACAGAGTAAAAAAACCTAGAGTCTTTTCATTTAAATAGAAGAGGGAAAGACAGAAGTAGAAGAAACTATTAAAATTTCGTCTTCTTTCCTTGTGGCTTGTGGCCACCACTTCCTCCTCTGCCTCCCTGGAAGCCTCCAAGACCTCCCCAGCTTCAGCCACCAAATCCTCCTTGGCCTCCTCTGCCACCACACCTCCACCTCCAAAGCCACCTCTGACTCCACCATGACCCCCAAAGCCACCTTCACCCTTAGGCTTTGCCCAGTCCAAAGTGACTTTGTTTCCATCAATTTCGCCATCTTCCATGGCCTCCTCAGCTGCTTTGGCATCTTCCTCACTGTTGAAGTCTACAAAACCAAACCCTTTAGAAGATCCAGTCTCCCCATCTATGACTATCCTGGCCTGAACAGAGCCATCAAGTGACTCCTTTAATGTCTCTTCTGTAGTCTCCTTGGACAAACCTTTGACAAACAAAGTTTGGGACAGCTGGCTTCTTAAATTAGGTGATCCCCTGGGTCCTTGCAACTCCAGCCTAATTGCTCTGCCCTCAATTTCTCTCTTATTATAGGAATTTAAAGCCTCTTTAGCATCTTCAAATGAAGCAAATTCTATACATGCATACCCTTTAGATTTGCCATTTTGGTTCTGGGCCACTTTGATAGAGGTCGCCTTCTCAATTATTTCCTGAGGAGTTTCTTCTGTGGCACTGTAGGGGAGGTTGCTTAAAACCAGAGATTCTGATTCACCATTTCAAGTGCTATTCTTTCCACCTCTATAGTCTTGACTTTGACTTTTCTCTCCACTGTAGTACAGGGAAATGGATTGCCCATCTATTTCTGTTCCCTGCTTTTCTTCCTAGGTTTTCTCTTCATCAGCTTCTTAAATTCAGTATTACCAATCCCTTTACTCTTTCCATCCTTGCTGACTAATCTAATCTCCACACATCTTCAAACACTTCTTTTAATTCATCCTAACTTTATAAGGCAGATTTTTAGCCACAAGTCTTGTGTCTTGATCTTTTTTGCTGTCTTTTCCCTTTGTTTTTTCTAGTTTAATTTCATTACCAAAGACTTTTAAACCAGTGAATTCCAAGGCTTTTTCTAGGTCTTCAGCAGGTTCAAAATCCACATAGCCAAACTTCTGAGGCATACCAATCTGACATCCACAACATTAAGATTGTTTTTAGCAAAAACATAACTGATACTCGTTTTTCATTCAGAAGCAGATTTGCTGAAGTTTAGATTTCCAATAAGGAGATTGAAAGCTGTAGTTGGTTCTATGGCTTCCATTTTCTGCTTCTTGGCTTCAGAAGCAGCTTTCTGTTTGGCCATTTCCTTATTTTGTTTCCCAGGTGTTTCTCTGACAGGCTCTTCCTCCTCATCTTCGTACCTTCATCATCTTATCATTCTCCTGTTTGTCTACATCCTCTTCATCTTCATCCTCAGCTGTGCTCTTTGCCTTCACAGGAACAGCTTTTGCAGCTTTCTTGCCTTTGATTGGTACAACCTCCTTAGGCTCTTCTTCAGAGCCTAGGCATCTTCTTCATCATTATCCCCATCACTGGACACAGCTAAATTTCAAGCAAATAGACAGTGAGAATTTTCAGTTTAAGGTAGGGTAGGGGCATTATCGGGAGGGTTGTTCATTAAAAGACCCTCATAACCACACACACACAGAGCACATATACACGCTCCCAGATGTCCTTGTCCCAGGTAACCCTAGCTTGTATGAATGGTATTTTAGTGGCATGAAGAATCAGTGTGCTGTCTAACATGTGCAAGCAAAGGTGGGAAGGGACAGCACAGGCTGAATGCAAGATGGGGTAGAGTGGAGAAAAAGAAAGAAGACTGGATGATAGACAAAATAAAAGGTAACTCCACTGGCTAAAAAATTGGGGCAGATAACCCTCTGAAAGAAGGAAGAAGAAATCCTGTCTTCTTTACCTTGACAAATTTCCATGGGCCAAAGTGAATTTGTATTTCCAGTTGCCCATAGAAGGTAAGAGCACACGAGAACCATTTGGATGAGTAAATAACTCTTTACCTGTTCCTTCATATTATTATCTAGTTCTAGATAATATAGCATGATTGAAATCTGATCAACATGATCAACTGACCATTTGGACCATTTTCGGACTTGCAACTAACTTAACTTTGTAATTTCCAAGTAGTGAGTGACCCTATTAAAGCCCCTGTAATTGAGTGACAGGCTCTTGATTTCCCCAAGCAGGCCACCCAATCCTATTTTAATAGTCTTGCAATCTTTTTTTCTAAATTTCACAGATGAGAAAAATAACATTGCTACCTATAAGCCCAATTCAAATAATGATGAAGATGCAACCAGTATCTACTCAGCCACATTATTCACACTGCTTATTTCAACAGAGGTTGGGAAGCTTGGCAAACCCATCTGTAAATGTAAAGGGGCTTCATGTTATAAGTGCAGGTCATACACCAGCCAAATAGCAGAAACACAGAAAATGAAATCTGAATTGGAGTCCCTAAAAGTTAACTTACCCATATAAACTTTGGCATCTGCTCCTTGGTGATTATTCTCCAATAGTAATAAAGACTTGAAGAAAGACCTTGAACTCTGAGTTGTCATTGTGAAATCATCTTTAATTAAGACAAATATTTCCAGCCCAAGAATACAAGTAGAAAGAGACAGGATTAATTTTCCCATATATTGCTGTAACTATAAATACATTATCTTCTCTGCAACTCTCATGAAATAATAAGCACTAGTGTTCTTTAAAGTATTTTCACCAGCCCTTGGAGATTTTATTAGAATCATGATTCACAGATGAGAAAGTTCATTCTTCTACAAGGTTTGGTAACTGGAGTTCTTACTCAGTAGAAGATCTACAGAGACAAACAAATTGGAATTTTTCTGGCTATTAACAATTCATTCACTAGTGATTTTTTTCCTTTTTTCTGAACTGACTGAATAATTGGGTCAAATGATCCCTCTGCTTTGCATGTGTAGACATGCTATTAATCAGTTTCTGAAAGTTATGGTGTTTTATCATATAGCTATGGGACTTCAACAGAGC